TTCCCTCGGCCCACTTAAGCAAAGCATCAGCATAATGACGAAAACCTGGGTACCGGAGGGGGGGGGGGGAGTAGCATATGTGTATATATGTATGTATGTATGTATGTATGTATGTATGTATGTATGTATGTATATATATATATATATATGTTTGCATGTACCATCATGTACCTATGTAAGTGCGTATGTACGTGAATTTGTTTTTGTCTATGCATGTTATTTTTACGTTTACGTTGTGCGCATAGATTCATCGATTTTACATGCATGCGCCCATGCATGGATTTACATACATACTTACTTCCTCACTTACTTGCATATGCACATACACAGATAGAGGGAAGTCTCGGTATTTCAGCCCAAGGATATAAACTCATAGTGAGTGCAGTTGTGCCCCCATTGCTAACTGCCTAGGAAAGGAAGGGAAGACAGCGAGAGAGACATGATCGTAGGCATCGGTATTTATGTAAATACGGAGTTGAACAAAAAGTTCTTTCACTTTTGAGCAGAACAGGACCTTGCGGGAGATGTCATTTTCCTGGCAACTGTTCTTGCACCACCCCTAAGACCCCCATCGCTTGGTCTTGGGTCAGCCAGCAGGAGTTCGACAACTTCGATCAGATTGCTCTAGTCGTGGCCTCAACAAGGGGGGGAGTGGGAGGCATTTGTTGATTCAACCTGTGCTAAGCCAACTTCCTCTTCGGAGTTTCGGACACCGGGCGGGCTTGGGATGCTAGCCAGGCTCTTGTGTGGGGTCGCTTTTGAGGCCTTCCAAGATGCATTGCGAGCAGCGCAGACGGTCAACTGAGTCGACATCTGAACAGCGAGTCTACCCTCTATCTGCAAGCATATTTCTTGGTGTCTACAACTTTGGTTTTGAAATAAGAAGCATGAGCAGTGTTCGCATTCCGGTCAAGGGAGTTTGTGAAGTCGGTTTCTACTCTTTCATGGAGTCTCGAGCAGTACAGTATTTTGTTGCCCTTGCCGTATGCGGTCACATGCCGTCGCTCAGGGAGCCAAATCACTTGCTCAGTAAGCACCCAAAGTCCCAACAGACAGCAGAACCCTGAACCCCAAAAGCCTCCGCACCCCAACGCCGATCACCTCCCGCGACTCCGCAGTGTCGGGCTTCTGTGCCAGGCCCAAAAGCTGGAGAAGCATCAGCTCATTGAGATGCGGCGGATCGCGACCCTGGCGGTAGCCTCATTCGTCTCCTATGCAGCCAAGAGGTTTTGCAACCCAAACACACGGGCTTTGGCACCTTTAAAGGCTTGAGCCATTGTTGCAGTATTCATGGCTCTTCGGGGTTCAGAATGGAGTGTTTTGAGTGTTGGGCTTCCGGTTCGGTCATTTGTCTTCCGTCTTAGTCGTGAGCCTTTTTCTCACTACCTCTGAAATTGAACAGTCAATGCTCTGCTTTTCTGGCAGCGTGCGCTTGCGCGGATGAGCGCGAGCCGGCTGGCGGCGGCGGCGGCGGGCGGGCGGGCGGGCGGGCGG